GCCTACGTGCCGGGAGCGCGGTGCCCGCCGACAGCCCCGCTGCCCTGGGGCTCCCCGGCGTGAGGAGCAGCGCGGCTCTGCCCTCGCCCCGGGCCTGAGGACGTCGCTCTCCAGACAGGCTTCTGGAGCGTTTCACCGCGTGTTGAGCTGACTGGTCATGAGATGTCAATGCTGGCGTTTAATATTCGCTTTGAGGATGACAGACTGCCTTCGGATCCGTGTAAAATATTTACCTCTTTTGAGAGGAGTTCTGTACTGCGGGGGAAGAGCAGTGCTGCAGAGGCTCCAGACAGTGCAGGCGACAGCGTCATGCCTGAACCGAGACAGCTTTGAAGTGGGCGCACCTGAGCTTAAGATGGTTGCGAGCTCTTCTCTCTGGGCCTGCTCTCGCCAGAGACGGCGGTTCTGGTCGTGAGGCGCTGCCTGTCCTGCGGGCTGCTGGAGGAGTGGTTTGGTGGGGTGACCCCCTACTCCGAAGGATATTAGCTGTCCTGAATTGTTTAGGCAGTCTAACGCAATTAAGATGGTCGGTAGGTGGAAGGAGTGCCATTAAGCTGTGAACAGGTTAGATCTCGACCTACTCCGTAAAGAGAGATTGGCTGTCTGTCATGTGGTAGAAATGTTTAACTGCTTGAGAGGGTAGAAAGGGGGATGATGAGAAGAAGAGGAGAGGGCTGCTCTGTGGAGCAAGGTGGGTAATGATAGCTGCACTCTTAATTACTGGCTTGGGGCTTCTCTCTCTGCTGCAAAACATTATTACATTTATGTGCAATAAAACTGACTTCTTTAATGACCGTGTCCCCCTGGGGTAGGGAGCCTCTCATGTTGACGCTGTTGTTGTATTTTTTAAGCGGACTTAGCCTGTCTGCGGGAGACAGTTTTAGTAGAGTCTGTGAATGTAAACAATATTTCAGCAGACTAACATCTCTTGCTGCCTTCTCTTGTATTTCAAATAATTTATAGCTGTGTTAGTTATGTGAAATGCAGTATTATTCTGTCAAAACCTGGGAGAACCTGACTGGGTAAAAGATTGCTCTTCACGTGCCACGTTTCTTGAATTCCTGTTCCTGAGAATCTAGTCAGTAGTGAATGCTGGAGGCAGGGTACTGACACAGATGCATCTTTGGTCTGGTCCATTAAATTATTTGTATCTCAAGAGCACAGTGTAGAAACGTTAGTCAGCTGTGAGGAAATTACTCTCTTAGCCTAGAAGAAATGCCTGTGGATTTGAGGTTTCCCATACCAAATCCAATATCCTTTTGGATTTGAGATTTGTGCAGCTGATGGAAGGTTTTTTTTAACTTCTGGATACTTTTCAAGCAGTTGGAAGCTGGCTAAATGGCTGGGATTGCAGACATTTCAGGTGGTTTTATTAATAATGTATCAGGGCTGGACTATGCTTCTTGGTGAGTTCAGATCTTGTGGTTTGCTAATGTAAGAAATGTTTTTTTGTGTGTGGAAAAGCACATTGTGCTACTAAATGTTTGGTCTGTGCAGTTCCCTGATGTAATTCAGCTGAAACTTGTGCACTTTCCTTCTGTTCCTTGCGACTTGTTTTCCTTGTGAGCTCCTGACTTTGCAGGTGTGTCCTGCATGGCAGGAGAAAACCTCCTGGGCTAGCACATAAGATTTGGCACTTGGAAAAGTGCTGTCCTGAAAGCGCCATCAGAAATCTGTATGGAAAGAAAGATAAGCAAGGCCTTGAGGTTTGGGATTTTTTTAACAGCTGATCTAAGGACTGTGCCTTCCCCGCCCTGCCAGATAGATGGAGTTGGCACTGAGGAGTAAAATTGCCTTCCCAAACTCCCAGAGTCTTTTCTGGGATCTTGCACGTCCTGCTGTGAAAATATTTAGAGAACTGAGGCATTTCATTTCAAAGTCCTTAAGGTGAGGATTGAAAGGATGATAACGGTCGGCCACATTTAGAGAAAGCATAATGATATCAGAGATACTAGTTCTCGGAGAAGAAAATTGAAAACAGTTAGCTTTGTAGGAGAGACACGTGTTGGTGGGCCCCGGACGCAGAGACGCTGCAGCGTGCGCTCACCTGCACCAGGCAGCAGTGAATCACCGTGGGAAAGGCTTAGGCCACAGTTGACGTTTCAACGCCCCACCACACGTCTCAAACCCATCACGGATATGTGTATTTTGATACTTATGGAGCTCTGTTTTGCAGCGACAGGGGATTGGAGAGCCCAGTGTGTACCATGCCGTGGTGGTTATTTTCCTGGAGTTCTTTGCCTGGGGTCTGCTGACCACGCCGATGCTGACGGTGAGTAAGTCTCCCTGGGAATAATACTGGCTCTCGTAGACTGGAGTTCACCTTGGGTTGCTGAGGGTAAAGATCTTAACGTAGGCCTTGGGGGTATAGGAAATAGAAACCAGGATGTAATGGTTTGTACCTGATTTTTTTTCTGTGTGAATAAGCTGGAGCTATAGTAATTTTTTATGGAGTTGGGCAATTATTTTCTTAATTATTGTACTTTAACTTGGAGCAAAGCATGAGTTTGATTTTTTTTTTAAAGCTTGTGAAGGATTTCAAGAAAGCAGGATTGAAAGACCTGACCTGAAATTACTAGAATTTACTGGTAGTTTACTGTTGCTTATTGCTTTTTTTTAGGTATTTAAAAAAAAAAAAGTGCTCTCGGGAGCTTAATGAAAAAAAGATGAGCAAAGCTTTGACTTTCTATCCAGATTGGACTTTTTGCCCTATGCTGACTTATTTAGGGATAAAAGAGATTTTTGTTGGACTACCGCTGTTGTCTGGGGTGTCAAAGCACAGAGACAATTTCCTGGCAGTTATTTGCTACACCAAGACATGCTCATTCTAGGAGAGCCCCCGGCAGTTCATTCAGGACTTGACTGAGTTACGGTTAACACAGGCAGCAAAGGCAGCTTCACAATCAAGTGCAGTGCAGAGGGATCGCTTTATCAAAGAAACTTAAAATTTCATCTTAAATACTTGCAGTTAGTTAAGGAGCTGTAAACTTCCGGTTTGGCACCTTCAGGAAGAATTCTCAGCTTTTTAAGTTCATTTTCTGGTGGTGGTTTGCCAGCTCACATTGAAGTCTAATGTGCTGTACATATTTTTGACCTGATCTCTGATATCAGGGTAACTACACAAAGGGATTTTTTTCTTAATGCAAAGGCATTTAGAAATGTAGTTGTAACTCAGCAGTATGAAATGAAAATCAAACATACAGACAGTGCTGAAGGGTGAGAGAACAGAAAAGTTATGTGGTAACATAAAGCAAAACCAGAGGGAAATTAGATGGTGCAGGGACGGAGAAAGACGTGTTTCAGATTATCTTAGTCTTGCCAAGCATACTGGGATAGTTTATAGACCCAGGAAGTATTAAAGAAAGTGGCTGCCCGTGTTGGAGAGGGGAGGTAGAGCTCCTCACATGGGTACAGCGGTGGCATTGTCGGTAGTGTATTTCCCATTTTCCCTGTTGTGCTCTTCCAGGCATCTAGCTGTCAGGTGCTGGTGGAAATTAATGGAAATTTTGC